ATCATGGAAATTATACAACAGACAGTTAAGAGAATTAATAAAGAGATCTTGGCACTTAAAAAGCTACATAATATAAAAACTGTTTCCCGTGTCATCAACTAATGAGGTATATCAACGCTATCAAGAAAGGGTTAAGGATGTACACTGTAGCTGACCATTACAAGAACCAAGTAATCTTTAAGAGAAATGTCTGCAGAAAGAGAGACCTGTAAATTGTAACATGGAATTAGAAATTATATCAAATCTCCCACCTTGTCTGAAAGACTGGATGGAAACACAACTTATCACAGGGAGAGGAAAGCAAGTTATAGACCTATAAGTAAAATTAATCTAGCTTGACAAGTTTTTTTGTAGGCCTTCTTTTACTAACTCTGTCATATTGATTATAATAGATGGTGTGAGTACTTACAACTTTGCATTGTTGATTTCCAGCAGCCACCAGTCGGCAATCAAACAGCTCTTGCTTGTCATTCCTTATTGCCACCACTAATTGGATTTTGACAAATGGACCAGGAAAAAACTGTAATCCATTAGAGGACGCAGAACACAGAGAGCCTTCAAGCAAAAGGCATCTAAGATTTGGGATATGATGCCGACATGCCTCCAAAATTTCCAATTTGCCTCTAACTATCTGTGAGGCCCAATCTTTGGGGCCAAAAGTAACAAGAGGTCGAGACCCTGGGAGAATACAACAACAGAGAAATTGATTTTAAAATATTCACTATTATGACACAGATGTTAAACAGATCTCACCTAAAATCTTAATCTTATATGAAAAGATTGCTATTTGAAAGAACATTATTTGGATGCTTAAAAACTTAACTCTTCATTTAAATGTATACTGTACATGCATGAAGTCACTGGCTTACAACAACCACACATCATTCAAGACAAATTCAACAGTCACATCCAAATTGCTTTGCCAGTTCCTTAGTTTACAGATGCACTATACATTAGCCAGCTGACTGTCAGTGTTTACCAATTGCTATTGTGGGGAGACATTTCTTTGTATATACTAGGTAAACTTCATTAAATTTTTCAGTTGACACATAGTATGTTTTCTGACCGATTTATAAGTCTTTGAGGAGTTAAATATGTGATTTTTAATCTGTCATCACTGCAGTTATGATACCTGACCAATCTGTGTTTTACATGTCACTATTTCATTGATGAAAGCAATTCATTCTGGTTCGAAAATTATTTAAAGCAAAATCAACCTTCACAAACACAAATGTATTTTTCTCTCAGCGAGCATTTACATTTCACGTGGAATTTTTTATATTTATTTTTATGCATTTCTAGCATTACTAACAATGTCGGTTTTAGTTTTGAACAATCGAAATATAATTATATAATTGTATGTATACATGCCAAAATCGTACACTCAAACTCGATTTACCTCAATCTGTAACTGCAAATCAAAGTCACACCCCCATTTCTTGAGAAGTTTTTTAAAACTCAAACAATTTTCGTTCCATTCAGGTCGATTTCATAGCAGTTTTATCCACGATAACTCGAATCAGGCCAGTTGCCGATTGGTGGCAAATCAAAACAAACCACTATTTTGTCCAAAATACGAATTTCGCAGTGAGGAAGTCAGAGATTCTGTCTTCTTTGGTTACTTAATTGCGCAAAACGACCGTCAGTCCAATTCTGGTTTCGTTTTGTATTTTCAAAAACGCTCGCTGCTTATTAAACCCTTTCCACAAAAACGTTCTTTTTGATGGTTTGACGTCTCAACGCTGCAAACTTCTTGAAAATAATTAATTTTCCATGAAGGTTAGAACCATCAAGACTCGACCGGAGTTCGTCGAAGCTACGTTAAGTGGTTAACATGCCTGATGCATACGCAATTACAGAACGACGTTGCATGCACGAAAACGAAAATAAAATAATCACATTACTCTTGTTACTGTGAATCGAATTTCGAGGGCGAAAACAAAGATAAATATTGAGATGTTCCGAAAGAAATGTAAAAGACTCAGCTCTTCTCCTTTGGGTAAGCAGCTGAATTGCGAAATCAATGACTTTCCGCTCTCCTACCTCTGAAACTTTGTTCCCGCGACATTATCAGATGTGTACCGCCATTGATAGTGGACTTCTCTCAAGTTACTGTCAACTTTATTTTGTTTCATTGACTGGCTCTTTCTATCACGTGATCGTCTGGAGAAATGACGTAATCGAAAGTTCACGATTCTGTCACGTAACTTCCAAATTTCTTTCGCAAATGAGCAAGTTCCCCGCCATCTTTGCCATTTCAGATTGTCGACGAGATCCAAAAGCTCCTTGACTCATAATCACTCTTATTTCTGGTTCATAGTTAAAGCGTGTGGAAAGTATTTCAATGAGTTATAATCTATTGAATGAGATACATCTATGACTTGGAGCGCTTAACTAACTCATAAGATGGCAACAAAACTCTGACCACCGTCCGCCATCACTCAAAATAGTTTCACCCCGAGATCCTGGGTTAGAGTAAAATAACCAATCAGGTGGTAATACAGCTTAGCGATTTTGACCAATAAGTGTTCAGCAAAGTGATAGTAAGAGACCAATCAGAAGTAAGAATCAAAACGTAAGTCATCTTTGAATTTAAACTTGAAACAAACAAAATGGCGACCCATAGTGAGTCTGACTCTGTCCCACATTTCTCAGACATGGATTCCCCTGGAAGCTCTGTTTCCTCTTCTTTGCAAAGAGAATACGAAGAGCTTCTTAAGTACGCTGTTGTTACACCGAAAATTCAAGTTGTTCCAAGTGTGTACGAGCAATGTATTCCTTCGAAAGATGATACTAGCGCTGCCTTCATTGAAACAAACGACAGCAGCTCTTCGACTTCGAAAACTACGTCGGTGTCGACTCAAAGTTCCCAACCAACAACAGAGGAATCGCATTTAGTCGATAAAGAAGAAGTGAAGAAACTTCCGGGAACCCCCTCTCTCAAAGTGTCGTTTCAAGGACAGGGATCAATAGCTCGAGATTCTCTGCTTCGATCAGGTAATTTCTAGACATCTATATCAGTTACAAACGTTAACTTATTAAGAACTTTGTGGTAAGCTACAGGGGTACGTATGCACTAACTCTACCCTTAACTCAGAGCATGTGTTATCATGAATTCTCTTCTCATAAAATGATAAAAGCTAAAGGAGGAAATTGAATTAAATTCGTTTGTGCGGCGAAAAATGTGTGCAGGTTCAGAGCTCAATTTTTCAACTCCTACGTTTACGTTAGTTGCCAAGCTTTGCAAGCATGAAGTGAAAACAAATTTGCAAAGGATGAGCGCGCACAAATCCTCGCTATATTTCTCTTTTCAGCTGTGAAGAGATACTGCACTAAGCAGTTGATATTTTGGAAGCGATGAAAATGAAACTCGGCTAACTTCATTACTTTCAAATTTCTCTTTTGTGCCTTAAGAAGTACATGCCAGATAGGCCTTTCTGAAAAGCAATTGTTAACTGCATTTTAATTACACTGTAGAGGGAGGCATACTGACCCTTTGAGCATAGCCCTCAACCATTCCATCCTTTTTTAATTTTTCCTTCTATAACTTCTGTATTAGTGGTGAAGAGCATCCTTGAAGACTTGAACATATGTTATACATATCGTTCTTAGAAGCTGTTAACCATGCTTAGGAATTAGATTGTTTTGATTTTAGACTGAATGAAAATTAGTTATATTAAAGAAAATATTTATCTAACCTGGTGACAAATGTGTTTCTAACTGAAAAATATTCCTAAACATTATCTACATGTAATTTTAACAATTGACTCATTTATAAATGTTTTTCAGAAACAGATGCTGTTTCACCAGTCATAGCAGAAGCTGAACATGAATCATCATTATCTCACACTGCTGATGAGTCACCAGACTCCCCAGTGCCATCCTCACCTGTAATAGATGCTGACCTGGCCAGAATGGAGGCATTATTGGATAACTGGTGTTTGGATCTCAAGAGAAATGTTTTGGTATGTGACCTACATATCTGTACTGATTTTAAGACTTCAAATGTTGAAGTGAAGATTTATTCCTGACCAAATCAAATTTACAAATTGACCAAATGAGGATTGAGTAAAAGTGACTTTGTGACAATAATTATCATATTTTCTTATCCCAGTGTATACCCTTTGGGTGTAAGTGAGAATGTACTTCACTCGTGTTCATGGCCATGTGAAATTTTTCCTTCTCCAAACAGGCTGAATTTGCACAGTGTAAAATGGGGTTATTTGAAAAACAGAAACAGCTTTTGATGCAGGAGAAAAGGAGGTACTGTAACAGTTTTTGTATGCATGTAATACATGATGAAAACATCTCAGGTGCTTCATTTTTTTCTTTGTTCCAATCAAAAAGTTGTACTGTGGGGAAAACTCTCACAACAAACAGACACTATTCAAGATAATGATATCATTTAATATCATGTAATAACATAATATTTATGCAACTGTTTAATAAATGTTAAACTAGATTTAAATCTTAGAAAGTAACAAAATACTGCTTTATTACCACTTCTAATTACCAGTACTCCTAATTGCAATGTACAATGTACATTGTACAGTTAGGAGACAAAGTGAAATGAAAATTATTTAAGGTAGAAGAGGTTTTTTATATGCATTGCAATTTGTAGAATGTGAGTAATATAATTCTTTTATGTCAGTAATCAGTACTTTAGCCTAACTTCTATCAACTGAGATACTGCTCAGGTACATGTTTATGTGTTAGTCTACAAAGTTGTTCCTTTTAGGTTAAACATTGTCTATTCATGGTGTAACAGATGCCAGGCAATGGGCAGCCTTTGCTAGTTATTTTACACATTTTTCCAGCCACCTCTGGATTTATACTTCACAATTTTTGCAGTTTAGTAACATGTTGTGTATATGGAAAAGCTCCTTAAAGGTGTTTAAAAATCCTATTTAAGGGGCAAAAAAGCACAAATTCAGTACTTCTTTTTTACTTAATTATGCATCTCCATAGTGTTGTGCAAATGTTGAAAATCTCCAGCATATAATGGCATAGTTTTGTACATGTACCTCTCCAATGGTTTCCACATAGTCCATTTTTTAAGAAAACTGTTCCCATTCTCTTAAATCTTCTTTAAAGTCTTGATTAACACAATGGAAAGAAGAAGTAGAATGATCCTTACGGGCAGGCATTACATTGAACACATGGCATCGAAAATGTGACCTCTGAACACCTGGATGGGATATGTAATCTTCTTGGTGCCCAGGACATTTGTCTGAGGGGCAGGCTGGGCCACAATGAAACTTGACATGCGGGAAGTGCCCCATACAGATATCTTCAATCATGGTGAACATTTGACTCAGTGCACATGAGGGTGTGATTTCCTGTCCTTTTCTGTAAAATGGAGAAAAACTCAATTTTAGAAATGGGGTACAATTGGATAGTGTGACAACATATAGTGCTGAAGTACACATTCAGAAATAACAATAGATTTGTTTTGCCCTATCTATGTAAATAATTAATAGTAGATAATTAGTGGATGCTAGGATTGAAATTTGTGTTTTTAATTACATGACTGCAAATGTCCAGGAATTGGTTATTATACTTTATGTTGTGTTATCATTTTATCTGATATTCTTACTTAACAAAGAAGATGCACTTTCATTTACAGAACTAAATGTGTGCTCCAACAGCAAGTCTTCCTTTTAGCTCTACTGTCTTAATGACCAATAATAATAGAGCTAATGTTTTGCTTGTTATTAAGAAAGTTAAAATTTAAATTGCAACTGTGAGAAGTTATCCAAGAACAAGGTCAGTGCAACATTACATGTGCCAGGTGTGAAGGATTTTGAAAAGCTGCTAGAATTTTATTATACCCCTCTCACATTGGCAAACATGTTTATTTAATCCAGTTTTAAGTGAATGAAATAAAATGCTTAAGACCAGGGAGTGATGATAGTAGAGGACAATCAACACTGGATCCGTAAATCAGTGAAAGGTTGCATTTATTTAGGGACTAACCTGTAAGTAAATGTCACTTCAATCATGTCTTCCTTCTTAAGTTGTAACACCTTGTAAGCTGTGCAAGGCCGCCACCAAAATCTGCCAACATCTTTACAAATGAGTGGTTTCCCCTCAGGAAATTCTACTTTACTGCTCCTGTGAGCACGGGACAACAGGTGTTGAAAGAGAGCCTCTGGAAGAAATCTTTTGAAAAACACATAGAAGACCTTGTCTGTTGGAGAATCATGCCACACTGGTGTGTTTACATCTGACATTGGCAACAGTGAAAGAACAAAGTGTGTGACATTTTCAGCCTCATTAATGTTTTCCCTGTTGTGAAATAATGGGCAAATGATGTCATACTCCTCAAGGAAGCTCTTCATTGCTTCTTCACTTTCTTTGCTTCCTGTTTCTCTTGAAATAATGTTCTTGAGGAGAGAGTCAGTGAGCATTCCAGTATCATGGAGCAATTTAAAATCCTGCCTCAAGCCACGCTGTTCCATCTCTTCCTTCTTTTCAGGTGGTGTCACCAACTGTATAATGATATCATTTAGTATCTGTGGCTTCAACAAAACCCATTCTGAGGAATCAGCATGGTCAATGAAGATGATGAGGCCTTTCTCATGAAAGTATTTTAGAGTTTCCTTGGACCAGTTGCTGCAAATAAAGTCACCAACTGATATGGGAAAATCTTTCAGTGTCACACAGAACTTTGCACTCTTGTTGTTTCTCAAGTTAATGATTGCATCTTGGATTTTTATCCATGAAAATGGTATTTCACGCCTAATAGTTGTCTTACACTCTTCAGCTGCAGCAATTATTACTCTCTTGAGATTTTGAATCCCAGTATCATTTTTTCCATAAGTATTCTCTACAGGGAAGTACAAGAGGTTGTCTTCTTCATTCAGAACAAGCTCATCGCTAAAGGAATCCAAAATATTCTGCCGCAGGTGCTTATCAATTTTGTTCAAACAAAGTTTTTCCATATGGCCCCCGTGTGTTCCAACAAGGAAGATGGGTGTCCTTGATGAGGCCTTACTGCAAATGGATTCCATCCAGAATTTAAGTCTTTCGATTTTTGCTGCCATGTTTCCAAAATTGTCATCTGCAAAGTTTGTCATGTTGAAGAGCACAAGGTAGATGGCATTGTCTCTCATGAAGATATGATGGTAAGCATAGTACTCTTCATCTCCTGAGAAGTCTAATATTTTTAGTTTAAGACTGGAAAATGTAGAATTTAGAGCCCTTCTCAACTTCTGGAAATTCAGTGCTATCTTTTCAATAAAGATAAAAGTGAAAGTAGCTTGCGTTTCCCTTGCATCTAGAGTATTATAATTGAAAATAGAAAACAGAGAATTATATTCACTGTACAAAGTGAGGCATGCTGACACTGAAAATATTGCTGAATACATTTTAAGGGAACAGAAGTGAATAAAATTTTCAGATAATTTGTCAAAGATGATATAAAACAATAAGATCGAACTGATAGCCTGTATGTTTACCAGGGAACACAAAGCCTGAGTAACTCTAAAGGTTACGAGGAAAGCGAGAGGAATCACCAAGAAATGAAGAATGTAACAATAATGGAGGGTTGTCATGTTAGTTGATATTTGTAACTGAAAAATGGAACCAAAACTAAAGCCACACATTACAGGAATTAAAAACCATACGAGGCACGGCAGAAAAGGTAGTGGATAATTGAACTTTGCTTGACCAGGGACAGATGATTCAATCCCTTTCCAATTACTGATTTGAAAATAGTGATTACAGGACAAATGATAGCTAATGTCACAGATCAGGATAGTAACAATCGCTATGTGAAGTACCCAGATCAACAGGTAATCATGAAATATTATTAATCTAATTGATGGGTCAAACTTTTGACACTCCAATTCTTTAAAGGGCCCTGCAAGCACATGTGCAGCTCCTAATCCCATTAGAATTCGAGGGAGCACGGCCATCAACCAAGCGAGTTTAAAAAATTCTGGATGCTCTGATCGCTGAAGCTGTAGCCAAATTTGCAAAGTAAATACAGCAATTGAATATGCATAGAAACTGACAGACACTGATGCGAAAGCCCCAAGCCATACGATCGAAATTATCCAGAATATACGTAGTAAGAGGAACATGAGGTGTACCACTGCTGACATTGCTGATGTTATTTCATTATCGATAATGACTTCGACTCCTGCAGGGCCAAACATCAAACCGTGGTACAGAGCAGATTCTCGGAATCGAGTAAAGCTTCCAAATTTAAGACCATCGTCGGCGTTGAGTCTTTTCCACTTCCGGTCAACTAAACTCATTTCCACACCTTTAGTCCCTGGTTCAGCTGCATCAAACGGTTGCCCTGTAAGCGATTTTGTTAAACTGGTCTTGCCAACTCTAGCATCTCCTAGTATTAAACACTGGCCTTGGAATACATCCTGTTTGTATGATTCTGAGTCGTTTTGTTCGCTTTTAAAACCAAGGTTTCTCAGAACTTGTCTATAAGACTCTTGTCCACGTCCATCCGGTAAGCGTCTCTCAAACTGTAACTGGGACATCACGTCAAGGTGTGATCGTTCGTAAGACGAATACCTTGCACATCTAAGGCTATCTTTTCATTTCTTTGTACAAGAGCAGGGTGTTTTCAATGACAGACTCGACGCACACAGTTCGATTACCCTGGAGCTGACTCCCGGAAGCTGTTCACGTGACCATATCTCGCCAAATGGCAAGGACCTTGCCGTCATGGTCTATGATCACTTTGTTTTCAGGGAAATAGACTCTTGCTGGGAATCTGTTACTTACTCAGGCCTTTTTGAGCTTCATTAAACGTTTATTTATTAAAGCTTTTTTACCCCACAGACACGGCAGTGAAATGCACAAGCTGATGAATGAGATGGAGAGTCAAAAAGAGTTGTTACTGACTTATGAACAGACCCTGACACACAAAGACTCTATTGTTACCAACATCACACACGCTATTCACAAACAGGTTTGTTGTACATTTTTGTCCTGACAGTAACTTACTTATCTTCGCGGGTCGCGAATGGAATAATTAAGTTGAATGGGATGAAATGGATGATTAAAAGAGACAATCTGCTATGTTTGTACAATGAGAGCCATCTATTAAGAAATCAAACTATAGCGGCATGTCCTTGTGTGTTTATTTCATTTTCAAAACAGATTTACTCGTTTGGTAACTAGTTGATGAACAGATAGAAATCAAAATGGGCTTTAAACTTTTCAACCACAGTACAATTTAAACTATTCGCACTTTTTTTTATTTCATTCCTCTTATTTGTTAAGTTCTGTTGTCCAGCTTATGATATTAAAGTCGAACAAGGGTTGAAAAAGGCCGGATTCTAAAAGAGCATTGTCCATCTTATATCAGGACAAGCTTTTTGTTATTTTTTTTTTGTTGGTAGCTTCTATATCGTTACTTCCACATACCTCCAACACTTTACGCATTGCTCAACTGAAGGGGAAAAAGAGACAAGTGCGTTGTGATTATGCTTGAATTTTTCGCCCTTGACGCGCGACAATTTACCCGCCGCGATTTACTAGTGACAATTTATTCACGACGATTTGATTCTCCCGTTTGGCACTCCCGCGATTTGATGTAATTTCCGAAGGTTAACAAACTTGTATGTTTTTTTCATAGAGGGAAAGAAATGAACTTATGAAGGCTTTTACCTTGTGGAAAATCAGACACTGTGATGAAAAAAGAGAGGTTAGTTCAGGAACCCTGACGAAATAATTGTAGAACAGTATTCATAGACGCCTGTGCACGGGATTGAAATTTAGAAGTCTCTCTTGCTTAAACCTTTGGTACCTTATAGCAATATTTATGATTACAGATATTGATAATAAACCAACTGTATCTTCCCAGTGGTAATCAGTTCAGACCAGTAGAACTTCCACTTTGCACCTTAACACCCCGTATTTTTTTTTGTGACTACATGTTTATTAACTTCCACCCAAATCGTCTTAGTGCACATCACACCATTATTTCCTCACACATTTCAGTTCGGTCAATTTTCTGATGGTCATCATGTTGTTTCTTCTCAGGGTTTTGCATCCAAACTTGCCGGAAGACATTACAAACACGCTTTAAAGTCACGTGCCTGGAGTGCATGGCGGTCTGTTATTGAATCCAAATGGAAACAACGAGTGGAAAAAGCATGTCAGGTTATTTGATCTGTTTGTTATTGTCAATCGTGTTGACTGTTTGTTTGGCTTTCAGATGGTCCGGTATTCAATTGGTGTTTAGGGACCAAGTATTGTGAAGAGGGATTTTAATTCGTCCACGAACTACATGTAACCTTTTCTATTTTTTCTGAAGGCGAAAGCTCAAGACGTGTGTGTCAAGTTGACGGAAGACTATGAAAGTCGTCTCGCAACAGTATGTTCGTGTCTTTTTTTCTTGTAATTTGACTGTAAACTTTAAACGCCCTCAGACGAAGGACAGAAATCAAAGGTTAACAAATCTTTAATTTCCGTAAGTATCGTGAAGTTTTCCATCAGGATAGTGACAGGTTTTATGCTTTTGGTTTTGGTCTTTGGTTTTCCTTCTTTTTACTTAAAGAATCATGGCAAACTTTAAACCGCCAATTTAACCCACTCGGTCAGGTTCATTTATGAATTGTTCCCTTGATTAGGCCACCCGTGAGCTGGAAATAGCGCGGAATGAGATAGCTCATCTTCATGCCGAGAGGGAACGGTATGAAGAAACTATGAAAAAAGCTTTCATGCGCGGAGTGTGTGCACTGAATTTGGAAGCCATGACTATGTTCAGAGAAGGTGAAGAGGGTGGCAGACGACCTCCGCCTGCTGCTGCAGGAATCAACAACAACGGTGAGAGAAGGAATGAACGGTTCCTCATTTTTATGATTTTACTGAGTCATAACCAGTTGTGGAGCGCGACGTTGTATGCTACTATGAAGCACGAAAATTTTTGTCTTGTAATCGCTATTTTGAAAAATAATAATAGATTAGTGTACAGGTGACATTCATCATGACCGAGATAAAGAGACGCATCTTATATATCCAGTTTATAACAAAGTTTGGATGTAACGCACGCTGTCATTAGTTGAAAAAGTGTGCTCTATCAGAGTATAGAGCATGCTGACGACACTATAGTTCACTTTGGAAATAAAGGTTGTTTTAAAAATTAAAAGTAACGGGTGGGGAATTTAACGGATTCTTTATTATAAAACAGAGAGAGAATCCTTGACTGTGTTCTGTTGTGAAGCACTTAGGAAGCGGCCATAGCGCGAAAGAAGTTTAGGGGCACAAGCCGTAGTCGAGTGTTTCTCCCCGCTTCTTGAGTGCTCTAACCGCTTCCTGCGTGCTGTACACCAGAGCAGAGCTCAGTCAAGGCTTCTCTATTTGTTAATTGATTAATTACCCGTGCTAAAATGGCGTCTCATCTTTGTTTTGTCTCCAGATGAAGATATGCCACGTCATCAACCACCTCTTCCAACTGTAACGACATCTGGTCCAGCTGTCACGCAACATCAGTTTAGTCACGTGTTTTCTAGACATCAAACTTCAGCTGAGAAGCCTGGCCAGATGGGAAAAACTGTTACCGTGAAAGCTGTTTGCAGATCAGACATTCAGGGACAAAAAGGCGGCGCCGGTAAAGTAAAATTTACACATGTTTTTTTTCTCTCCTTCCGTCGATGTATTTCAGATTTTCAAAGCCAATACTCTACCAGCGAGATGGCTGAGTGGTTAAAGAGGAAGTGGGAGATCACATCCCCATGGACTACCGCGGGGAAGGGAGGAAAGTGGTGAAAGGAACCTCAACATACCTATCATAACCAAAAAGTATTTCAAAACATTCTTGTTCCTTTATACTTTATTTCAGGTTTGGTAGGTACCCAAGGGCCTGTTAGTTCAGTTCTCGTTCAGAAGCATTCCTCAGAATATGGCACCTCAGGAGCCCCTCCGACTCGTCAGCGTGCACCAATTAAAGCAGCCACCACGAGAACGTCACGTGGTCCAAGCGTGCAGACAATCCACACGACTCCTGTAAAAGTTGTACACTGAAATCCGCGCTAGTTTTGCCCCGCCACATGAAGTCATAGTCTCAACTGCTTGTTACTAGTGATAGGTCGATTTAAATTAATTGATTTTTGTAATTTCGTAATAAATCATTTGCCTTGTTTTATTTTGTCTTCCGTATGACGAACATTGTCTTAAGAGGTCAATTCACATACAACTAGTATGAGCATTTGCGCGTTATCCAGCTGAGACCATAGCAAGAATTACGGACAAAAGGGAAGAAAGTAATAGGTCAAATTTCACTGGATGAGATGATCTGAATTAGTGCGTGTGAATGCTCTAACAACTGGACACTCGGACAAGGTATTTCAATAAAAGTAATTAAGTTGTGACGCAGGTTCTTTTGGGACCAGATGTGTAAAATTGTGCAGTAAAGCGATAATGAGGAAAAAAGAAGAAAGTTTCCCTGAAAATGGCCAATCCCTCAGAGTGAAAGCGCCTGGAATATTGTTTTTCAACAATAGTCATCTCAATGCAAACTTTTGAAAAAACTAAATTAGTTTTTTCCAGAGTCTGCATCACATAGACTAGTTTAAACCACATTATTAATATTTTTAGATGCCGCTTGCGGACCCCGAGTTTCTCTTAAGTACTTCAATTTGGAGGCAAAGCCGTCAGCTGACCGCTACAGTCAGTAAGTCTTGTGTTATCTTTCTCTGCTGTATTTTTCACCTCGAAGCGCAAAATTGCATCTGGGTCCAGGCGATAACTAATACAGTGCGTGATTATCATTCAAACCTTTACAAATCCACACCGTTGCCCACCAAGTTTATAAATGTAGTTTTGCTTTAAGCTGGTTGTAAGAAAAAGAGTTTTCGATGAAATCAAGTCATTTCTGATCCTGGAGTTAAAGGTGCGAGAAAATTTGCGACATATGTAACAAATAACGTAATTTTCGCGCGCGCTGATCATTACCTCATACAAAGCAACCAATCGGTAAAGCGTACCTGCTAAAATACGGGCTGGTACCATGAATATTGGATATCGTGTTTATTTTAGCTTTAGGCGGACCAATCAGAGCGTACAGTGTGATATCGCTGGTATTTGGAGAGAAAGGAAAATTTCATGTCCGAAACTTGAATGTAGAGCGAGGGAAATTTGGGAGAAAAATTTTCCCAAAGTATTATGAAGATCGTATCATTGGTTTTGATCTTCGGATTGTTTGCAGTGGGGTTTTCACGGCCTTCCGAAAGTAAGTTAACCTCATCCCTACCGTAGTTTGAGTACGATCACTACACCGAGCAGAGTGATCTACATTACAACCTGGGATTGCTGGTGTCTTCTGTGATCTGGAAAGGTCTCGTGTGTAAGCCTCTACTCACTGGCTTAGTCGTACCTTATCTAAACCTAAGATCTAGCTGAGCTAAGCTCCGAGATTTGTTTTAACTTTCCTTGGTTCCAAAATCGTGGGCAGTGATATGCTTTAACAAGTTAATGTTTAAGAAATGTTGACACTCCACAGTAACAGCCACCCGTCAACTTTTTACCTTGCTCAAGCCTTCTCTGGATGAATCTTTATTTCATAAAACCATTTTCCAAGTGTTACGAATGCGTTTGAAACTTTGTTCCATAATCGTCCTTC